GAGGGCGCGCTCCCGAGGCACGGCTCCAGCGCCCGCGCGGAGAGGCAAACAGGGCTCTGGCCCCTCACCGCTTCGGTGACTTTCCTAAAGGCCCAGCGCTTAACACAGCCAGGGAGCACCCAGGTACCGGTCTCCTCGAAAACCAGGAGCGACTCGCTCACGTTCATACAGGAAAAACTCTGGTTTAAATGGTGGTTTTGAGCACGGTGAAAACCAGAAGGTAAATAAGCACACCCAGCAGAGCCTGGCCTGCGCCGTCGCGGGAGCCGTCGCAGCAATTCACGCTGAGATGCATCTCTGAGGAGACAAAACCAGCGTTTCCCAGTTCAGGAAGGCTGGGGCGCAAGCACCGTCACGCCCATCTCCCACCCTAGCGTGACGAACAAGGGACACCTTCCTGGGCTGGGGCCAGAGCACAGGAGTTTGCCCACTCGCTGTCCTGGTTTCGGCCGGGTTTTTAAGCCACAACACTCACCCGGCTTTAATTTCCTATTCTGCCACTTCCTCGAGCAAGAGCCTCTCCCAGGGAACAAAAACCAACACCAAACCTTCTTGTGCCATCCCGGGGGACGCGGTTTAGCAGAACCAGCTCTGGCAGAACAAAGCACACAGGAACCAAACTGTTCTGCTGCGCGGTCTGCGTTAACAACGCAGGAAAGTTTCTGACAGCATAGAAGTATGTGGATTAATGGCAGGGTGGGGTTTTCTTTTCAGAATTTCAAGGACATGGAGACCAGCTCTTCACCGACAGAAAGCACAGCAACGCGCCGAGAGCTCTGGTGGCAGAGCTCGGGAGCTTTCTGTCCTGTTTCTTACCCATCTTTCCCAATTTTGCTTTCTACTTTTTAAAGTACTGTTCATCTGTTCAGGCACCCATAGTGAAGTTGCCAAAGGGTCGCAAACCTTTTTCACTGCAGGCAACAAAATGTTTTTTCGCCACCAGCCTCTCAAACACGGAAGACGTTTCCAGAGCCCACATCTCCTGTCACCTGCCGAGGAGGTGTCTCCAGCTGCCGATGTGCTTCGTCAGATCTGCAGACCCACGGTATCTCTCTCAAACACGTCAGGGCTTGCAGCCTCTTTCTGACGCCTAATTCCATGCAAAGCTGTTCTCAGGCGATAACACCCAAAGGAAGACTCTACTCTTTCATGCCCCGTCAGGCACGGAGCTGCTCAGAATATGTTCTGCTCTCCAAATGGTACAAACTGCAGTCAGTTACATGGGAACCTTTCACATAACCGCAAAGTTTTGTTCCATACAAAAAAATAAAGGGATATTATCAATGTTTGGCTGGACAGCACAGGCTGCTCAACTACCGATGGCATTTGCCCTTTTGAAACCCCTACAAAGGCACCAGGAAGCAGCCAGCGTGGCCACTGATCAGGTGACGTCAGCGCGTGCGTTAGCTGCTCAGCGAGCTCTCCCACCTATCGCCAGGACCGGAGCCGAGGCTTCGCGGGACGCAGCAGGCGCGCGGAGCAGAACCGGGGAGTCCCTCACAGCCTGGGGCCCGTCTCCCTGCATGACTCCTGGCTTCCTCCCGCTCTCCGGGCACTAGACAAACGACAGCGGGAAGGCGCGGGTGAGGACAGGCCGCCGGCGGGGCTCCTCCGGCCTCGTGGCG